TGTTTTCTATTTGAGAAACTTGCTTGGTGTGGGAAGTAAAAACATAAGTCTCATTTTATGTTCAGAAAGCTCTGGGTGACATCAGAAGTTAACTTTGCATGTTCTAAGTTGTAATTGGCCTTATAAACAACAAGGAGGGATGATTTTTATTTTGTCATTCTTCAACAATAAAAGGTACAGACAGAAATAGACAGTAGTAAAGTATTCATGGTTATGTATTCTAGGAATACATATAAAGAAATACTGAATTGATACTGCATTTGCAATGAGCTTGTCAGGTTGTCCAGCTGCATTATGTAAAACTGGTGGACGAATTAGAAGTTTTGAAGGACAAGCTTTTTGTAAAACATTGGTATTTTAATATATTGATAACAGTGTAATTGCCACTGTTTATTTCACATATGTGATGGTTAAATTTGCCAGGATGCAAATGTATATTTTATATTGTGGATGCAGAGGATGAGACTTAAGACCTCAGTATCAGAGGGAAATAGATGAACAGTTACAAAGCCAGTTTAAAAAAAAGTATATATAGCCTGGAAGAAGATATTGCTGGTACTCTCTGAAATTGTATTTTAAGCTAACAAATCTTGTGTCTAAAGCAAATACATTTTTCAAGGAAGAGGGTTTTGAGTTTAACTTCTTGACCTATGGATTTGTGGGACATGGGAACCCTGGTAAACTTGGATTCCTTAATTTCTATTTCTTTGTTAAATTATTAAACTCACTTTAAATCAGTTTTTACTAAAATCATAATCTGAATTCCTCTTGTTCATTTTGGTAGCGCATCTTCCTTGTTCAGTTTCCTGTCTTCTGTCAAATTAATTTCATTTATGTATAGCTCCCTAACAAATCACCACTTTTACATAGTCAAGTAATATAATTATATGCTTTGAAAATGTCTGTAAAGCTTTATTATGTCAAGCTTAAAATGTTGCATTCAGCAGTGAGGTGCAGTCTGAAATATGATTTGTAGCAATCATGACAAATGTGGCAATTCTGTCTAGTATGTGAAAAGTGTATGGCCATCTCTTAAGTAGTAAGATTAAAATTCATATTTATGAATCTTTAAAGTTATGATCTGTTAAATAACTGGAAGCTTGACAAATCTCCAGTTCTATCTATTTTACTTTGTGTGGTGGTAAATTTAGGATGCCTCTGTAAATGGTGGTAGTTCCATGAATCTTGCTTATGGGCATTTAACTAAATAACATGACATAATGAGCTACTTGGCTGTCCGTGTAATATTCTCTCTAAAAGATTCAAGCTGTAATAATATGTTTAGTGTTTGCTTTACTGATTTTAAAATTACCTTGCATTGGGCAAGGCAAAAAGCCGGTTTTATGTGGTGCGGCACAGATAAAGAAACTGGAGTTGCATGTAACATTGTGATTGACTAGGATAATCTCGGCAGGCTTTCTCAGTGTCTGCCCAACATTTGCAACCTTGTCTTCAATGCAGATGCATACATCTCCAGTAGACCTAAAGAACAAAGGAAAAAGCGGAGTGCTGGAGAAGCTTGATATCTGGCAATCTCTCGTTTACTTGCATAACCTGACACCAATTGATATTTTATATTGAGGAATGAATATGGAAATTTCTTTGTGCATGAGGGATCAAATTGCTTTTAGGAGGAATGCATAAGAATCATCATTACTTCAAACGTTCCGGTTCTTTTATTTTAAAATCCTGAAAGCTCCTTGTTCAACATAAGTGTTATTTTGAGATTAATACATGCCATTTTTAACTATGCTTCTTTCACTAATCTCAAGGTGAGGCTGAGTAAGTTGTATTAATGCAACAAATGTTTTTGGAGAGAATAGCTTAAAATCAGTAGTTCATGTGTTGCCGACTGAGCACACAACTCATAGTTTTTCATTCTTCTACTTGATGCCCTGAACAATTTCTGAAGTGGATATTTAGTGTGGAATAATTGACTCTGTGGTGTAAGCAACTAATTTGATCCAGTATTCCTAATTGCTGGCTGGAAAGATAGAGGACTGCTTGGGTTTTTCCTAATAGCATTCTTCTGTGGGGGAGGTAAATAATGAACTGTGAACATCTGAGCAGAACAGCTGCATCTCCTTACTTTGAGCAGGGCAAGATGTCTACTTAAAGATTATTTTTATTTTCTCCCCATATCCTGCTGCAGCATAGCTCAAAATCACATGTAATGAAGCCTAGTTCAAAGCCTGTGGCAAGTGTAAGGCTTTGTAGTGCCATGAACTTGAGAATGAAAAACTATCCTTGTAGAACATACCCATCAACTTTGCTTTCTTATAAACCCTTAACTGATTTAGCTTGCATTGACATTCTGTGCCTTTTCTGTGTCTTGTCTACTTCTTTGCTCTTTCCATTAGATCCTCCTACTACTACCACTCGACTGCCCACGGTTCCCTGGCATCCTTCGACTGATGGCATCACAGGTTTAGCAACAGAACCTAGAATAATAGATTTCCCAACATCAACCTTGCCAGCAATGCAGGAAGACACTTGGGGTACCATCATCGGTAGTGCGGTGGGTGGGGCTCTCTTCCTCATACTTGTCAGTGTTCTGGTTGGAATTATCTGCTATAGGAGAAGACGGACGTTCCGTGGTGACTACTTTGCTAAGAACTACATTCCACCGTCAGATATGCAAAAAGAGTCTCAAATAGATGTTCTTCAGTCAGCTGATGTGGATTCTTATCCTGACAGTATAAAAAAAGAAATAAAGCATCCAATGAACAGCTTAATATCTAAAGATTATTTAGAAGACCCTGAAAAACCAGAGTGGAACAATATAGACAATATTAACAGGTACCAGGAACGTTATGAGAGACCAATGGATTACTATGAAGGTGGAACATTGGGAATGAAGTATATGGGTGGTGAATGTTACGATGACAATGAAGAAGACTTTGTTTCTCACATAGATGGCTCGGTAATATCTCGGAGGGAGTGGTATGTGTAGTAACCACTGAAAACTAAACATGTACCTACAGTTCATTTCGTTGGTTGATCACTTTCAGATTGTTTATACTTACACAAGAGGAGGAATAAACTTTTTGAAACTGATTTTTTTTGAAGGTTTTTATATTGTGACTTGACAAATGGAAATACTGAATCTGGGGAAAATGTATTTGAGCTGCTTTTTTTCCCAATGCTGTACTACTGTTTAAGATTTTAGTTTTAATGCAGAGTGCTTATATTGGTCTATGTCAGAGGTAAAAAAGGTTAAATTAAAGTTGCCATTCAAAATTGTTTAAGAATAAAAAGTGGCTGTCTTGGCTCTCTGATTTAAAATGAAGTTTACCTAAGGCAATGATCAAATATAATCTTTTGGGGCATTTACTTTGCAGATTAAGTGAATTACTCCAATCTAGATACCAGCCATGGTAAACTTAATGCTTCTGTATAGTGAATGCTTTACCAAGCAAAATGAGTTACAGCAGAATCAAAGCTTTATTTTTAGGTCTTTCTGCACAAAAATGAATACCTCTTAGCGTTTTAATGAGCCTTCTTGTGACTATGTACTTAAAAGAAGTCATTGCACTGAAAGTAACTTATGAACAAGATTTTGAGGAGTAACTGTAAACAGGTTAAAGGCTTGTCTTTGAGTAATATGAAAAATTATTTTTATAGCCATTGATTTCAAAAGCTTATGCTAATGTGTGTATATATACATACAGTAAGACATTTTGCTGGGCCTGTAATTGGCAGGGTGTTGAAACTCATTAACTAATACAAGACACTCTTTGCAAGTATGCAGGGTACAATTTTAGAGACCCGTTTCTGAGGCTTTGTGGGAATCTTACCATTGAAATTGAAAGCTGGAGAATTGGGCACAACTAGGAAGAAAACTCTAATAGATTTCTAAGCTGGAGGCTAATGTGAATTTGCTTATTTTCCTGGGTGCCAATAAGCATTAAGCATGCTAAAAGGTGTCAAAGCATTTGCTAGAATTTTTATGACTAGAAGTTAAAACAGCGGTTTTACGCTGCTTCTGAGTAAATTCCCATGCTTGCTTTGAAGAGAGTAACTAGAATTTCAGATTATTAGTAGGGAAGTGGACACTTGCATTGCTACTTTGTATTGTGAAAAGACGTTCTCTGATGGCGCAACTACAGAATCTACAAAATGGGAGTTTAGATAAGTTGTGCAGTCTCTGTACTGCAGTAGATTTGTTTTCCCTGCAAATAATTGATACTGATTTAACATGTTCATGTTCTTGTTCTTTAAAATGACATTTGTATGTAGGACATCTCATTTGACATCTGAAGTAGTTCTACTTTGACTTGAGCAGGTTCACCAAACTAATTCTGCTGATTATGTAGGGGGGGAATGAAATAACTTTAGATGAATTGCAGAACAACGATAAATTCATAATTAGAATAGGAGATCCTTTGAAGTGCCATTTTTAAGTGTTTAGCTTGAGAAAATGAAGCTGATAAGGCTTATTAGTATTTGAAACCTGAAAAGGGAAAAAAAATCTGCTACCTTTGAAATGAAATAGGCTGCACTATTACAGCTGCTTCATGAGCATTCATGCTGGAAGTTCTTTTCTATCCTCATGGTCTTTGGTAGCTTACGGCATCTAGGGCTTCACAAGAGTAGTTGTATTAAGCGTTGTAGACAATACACTGTGATTGCTTATGACTGCATGTCTTTAAAAAAGATTGACAACAGCTTTATTTGAAATTCAAATGGAGAAGCATCCCTAAACAACTGAAGTTCACGTTTGGATTAATGGAGTACTAACACATGATTGACCAAAGTCTCAAGAACAATAGCAAAAGGTATTGTGTGTATCTGTAGTTTGAGTGCAAACACAAGGAAAGGAGTTAAATTTCTGGCAGAAGGTTCTGATCCAAATTATTTCTGGAATAGAGATCATACCTCTCTTCAAATAAAAAATACTTGATATATCATCTTTAAAAGATGGTGTTACTTGGAAATAAACATAACCATAAACCTGTTCTCCACATGGGATATCTTGCTTTTGTCTCTGTGGATTTTTTGTTTTGATTTTTAAAAATATATATATTTAATTCCTATGGGTTAAGAAGTTGAAATGTTTTGGAGTTGAAGTTGATAATAGGGATAGGACTTATGTGTGGTGCAATGTTTTGTACATTATGTCTGCTGTAAAAAGAATTGATTGTAAGTACAAATGGCTGTTGTGTGAATAAACTTTTTGTTACATTCTGGAACATAGGTAGTGTTCAAAAATGTTTGACAGATATATTCTTAAAACTGAAGATGAAAAAGCATAATAAAACCAGAGGCTGAATAGAAGGAGCTAAAGTATTTAAGCAAACTAAGATGGGCTTTTTTGAATTTCCTCTTGGAGACCTTAAGTTTATAAAACAAGTGTCTTTAGAAACTATTTTAAAAATTATGAACCTGAGAATACTAAATAGGGATAGTTGTTGACCAAACAGTTGCACTTTAAGCACAGCTGATATACTGTCTAGGATTCATATTCTTTAAAAAAAAAATAATTTTATTTTCAGTTGCTGTAGGTCTGCTTTAACCGTGTTTCCTGGAATGAGTCAATTCCCATATATTTCTGACCAACTGGTAGTTAAAATGCTGTGTAGCTGGCACCATGCATCTTAGGCGCTCACTGGCTCGTTCAGGTTGGCATGGTAGTCTGTTTCTGATCGTTCCCTGGTTAGACTGATAGAATTTTTGTGCCTACTTTTTTGCCAAAGCAATTAGAAAAAGCAAATTAAGTGAGTCCTGTGATAATTGCACTTCAGTTCGGTTCCTGTGTGTTGCTACACTTGCTGGGATATCGCTGTTTTTCCTGGTGTTCAGAAGGAAACGGCTGGCTATAGACATCTTGCCCAAAATGGCGTTCAGTGGTTGAATTTTCATTGAAAATATACTTTATGAAGTTTCAACACTGTAGCAGAATTTACCGGGGGGAGGGAGGGTGGGGGTGGGGACACTGTAAAGTTAGTACAGTATGACACAGTCAAGAAAGTCTTCTGGTGTAATCATAAGACCAAAGCATCTTCATGAGCTCTGGACCTAACAGTGTCTAGTAGTTACCTGCAACTTTCTTAAACAAGAGGGCACCTAGTGTAAACTATACTTAAGCCAATTAAAATGCCGTGGTTAAATGAGCTTTCCACTGATTCGTATGCCCGTTCTTCAGGAGAAAATGGAATTTATGATTCTCATTTAGGCTAGTATCTGACAGACAAATGGAGCTTATGCCAAGAAAGCTGTTGTATAAAATTAGGACAAGGATCACTGAAGGTGGTATGCGACATTGATCTTCCAGAGTGTATTAACTTCCTTCATGTTGTTAATCTATGATTTTATCCCTTAACTTTAAGTCACAAAAAAATGCTTATTTCAGTTTTGTTCAATCTACCTAAACATACCTGCGTGAGTGATCCTGGGGGAGTATTGCCGTCAGGTCTTTCATATGCAGTGAGAGAATAGGAATCCCTTTATCAGATTGGAAATAAGGTGGTTTGGGGGTTGGATTTTGGTTTCGGTGGTTTTTTGTTTTGTTTTTCAAAATGAGGGATTAGAAAAAGATGCCTTTATCCAGTTTTCCAGCATACAGACAACAGCGTCAGACCTAGGAGTAATTGATAAAACAGATTGGATAGTTGTTTCGGTTTTTTGACCTGTGAGTAGAATATATAGCTGGAGAAGCTTTTAAAACTTCCTCTGGTAAGAAATTAAGTAAAGGGAGGCTTGTGTGGTGTCTGGAGAAACACAGCATACACATTTCCTGAAGGAAAATGGCTTGAGTAAACTGCGTTAGAAATACGTAACAGGTATAGAGCTGTGTTAACTTTAAACTCCTTTGCCATTACCTTTCTGATCCAGTAATCAATGTAGGTCAGAGCATTATTTCTATATGCTACCTATATTTTACAGGTAAAAGTTTTAGTGAAGGTAATGTGAATTGTTCTAATTGTGCAACTTTCTGATAAGCCTTTTGTTACAAGTTTGAAACCCTGAGATTGAAGATAATGAATTCAAGTATGCTAACAGATATTACAGCTTTTAAATATAAAACTTTCTGAATCTATAGCATAGTGAAATGGGTGACCTTTAAAGACTGACAAGTGCGTTAATTCAGTATGAGAATTGTTAAACATGAGATTTGACAATGCTGAGGTGAAAAGAAATACGCTTTTTGGAAAAAAAAAAAAACCCACACCAGCTTTTCTCCCCTCTTGTAAAAATTTATTTATAAAAATGCCTGTTTCTTGTAGCTTGAAATGCAAAGTCCTAGAGATGATAGATGGTCTTAGGTGTTGCTTTGATAAGTGTAAGCAAAATATTAGTAAGTTTGCATGTTTGTTGCTCCTAATAGTATATCTAGTATACCCTGATTTTAAATTTCCCCTTTTCCTTTCTGCAGACTTAGGTGGCTTTAAAGAAAGATTGCAAATAAAGCCATAGTTATCTTAGCTTTTTGAGTTAATACCTCGTTTGCTCATGTAAGTGCAAAGCATGTGTTCTGTAACTTCATCTTTCCTTGACATTGAAAATAAAAGCATGCAGCTAGTATTAACAGTAGTCGATAAAATTTTTGAAGTTATGTTAATGATTCATGAGCTCTCTTAATTCAACCATTATTTTTAATTGGGTGACTGGAGCCAAGACTGCAGGATTACTGGTGCAGGATGAGGCTTTCTGTTTGCTCATGGCAGGAAGAAACATTTCTCAGAGCAATGCTGAAATACCTTGTCTGAGTATTGAAAATACATGAACTTCTTAAAGGTGTAATCTATGCTATCACATTGCAGATGTGCCATTTAAGCAGACATCTTCTGTTGCTGTAGCAGGGGCTGTGATTGGAGCAGTCCTTGCTCTTTTTATCATTACCATCTTTGTGACAGTGCTGCTGACCCCAAGGAAAAAAAGGCCATCCTATCTTGACAAAGTGTAAGTATGTGTTGGATTTTTTTTTTTAGTTGAAAGCAATATACGGAAAGT